GTTGCCATATTGTCTGACGGCTGCCTCTGTAATTGTTTTGTTGTAAAGGTCATTCTTTTGGGTTTGTTGTTTTGTGCATTATAAGGAACCAAAAATGCTGTAAGATTAAATGGTTCAATAAGATTAAGATCTGTAGAGAAATAAGGAAAAACCACTAGGCTGTTTGAGGGTGGCAAGAGCGCGCCATTATTGGTATGGGGGTACGCGGGCGGGCGGGGAGGGAGGCGACTACACACACAGACAGACAGACAGAAAGAATGTGTGACGTTTGGCCTGTGTTGGGATGTTTGACGATGGGTCGGCCACCACCACGGCACCATCAGCAGTGATCCCCGGCCGTCTGGTGAGACCCACTATGCTCAACTGCACACACAACAATAAGACATTTTGTTTATATATGATGAAGCTCCCCAGCGAGGGGTGGCGGCCAGGAGTCGTGTGTGTGTGTGTGTCTCAGGACGGCTTATGCAACATCCACTTTGGTTTTGAGGGTTACTATCACTGAACATACTACTATCAACTATATACTAAACCTCAAACACCAACGCTGAGAACAAACATTAGTGCTGCACTGACACGGTAAGTTGAGCCTTGTTGGTGGTGTGAGTGACCCCTCAGCCTAGTGCTTCAATTATTTGTGTTTGTGACTTTTTTTTGTTTTACTGTTATAAAGTCTGTTGTTTATTATTTATTTGGGTGAAAGGTTTAGTTAGATTATTTTATATTCGAATACTGTTGTTTTGTGTGGTAGTGTTTATAAAGACTTTGAGATTATCTAGAATCCCAGACAGTTTTATTGTCCTCTGTCGCCTCGTGTGTGTCTGTGTCTGTCTGTGTGTCCGGGTAGCTCATGAACGTCGTTACAACTATAAACTGATTTCGATATAAACTTAGGGACAGTGAAGCTCGTCCCTCCATCCATCAGTATTTTCCTCCATAACAGCGAGAGTGATGGGGCTCCCCTCGTCAGTATAGCGCCACCACCACCTCCCTAACTCCCCAGAGAGAGAGAGAGAGAGAGAGAGAGAGAGAGAGAGACTGTTATTCTTGGTCAGATCTTCTTGCAAACACTTCAGAGTTAAATTAATCATCATTCTTTCAATTATTTAATGACCAATTAATTTTATTCCTGGCTAGATTTTTACTTTGATTCATTAGGTCTAAAGTCAATCTGAAATTTGTTTATATTTTAACCTTAATTTGAATATTTTAGGAGTTAATGATGAGACGCCCTCCCTCCCCCCCCAAAAAGAAGAACAATAATAATAATACACTGTTCAGCACAAGAGAAAAAGGTAAATATTTTGTTTGTCTTCAATATTTTGGTTTTGACTTTAACCTCGTCTACCTTACTTGTGTTGTTACTGAAGATAATGTATATAATGTGTTAAATTACATAGGAACTGGAGATTTATTCTGAACTCTGCAACATTATTTTTCCATTCAGTTATGTATTTTATTAATATTATTGTGCTTTTAGAGTTATGATTGTTATTTTCTCTTAATATTGTAATTGATATGATGTTTGAGGGGTCGTCACATCACCAGGGGGGTCGTCATCCTGAGGGGGGTCGTCACATTACCAGAGTCGTCACATCACCAGGGGGTCGTCACATCACCAGGGGGGTCGTCACATTACCAGGGGTCGTCACATCACCAGGGGTTCGTCACATCACCAGGGGTCGTCCACATTAGGGGGTCGTCACATTAGCAGGAGCTGCATAACGGAATCTACATTTTCCTGTCGTGAATTATCCGTCATTTAGGATTTCCTCGCTGCCAGCTGTTCATGTTAGGGTGTGTTGATGTGAGGCATTAGTGTGGTGCGTCACCTCCAGGCTTTGTGACGGCTGACTGGGTGCGGGTGAGGGCCTTGTGACGACTGACTGGGTGTGAGAGTGTGGGTCTCTTGTGACGACTGACTGGGTGCGTTATGAGAGTGTGGGTCTCTTGACGGCTGACTGGGTGCTATGAGTGTGTGGGCTCTTGTGACGGCTGACTGGGTGTGTTATGAGAGTGTAGGTCTCTTGTGACGGCTGACTGGGTGCGTTATGAGAGTGTGGGTCTCTTGTGACGGCTGACTGAGTGTGTTGAGAGTGTGGTCTCTTGTGACGGCTGACTGGGTGCGTTATGAGAGGTGGGTCTCTTGTGACGGCTGACTGGGTGCGTTATGAGAGTGTAGGTCTCTTGTGACGGCTGACTGGGTGCGTGAGAGTGTAGGTCTCTTGTGACGGCTGACTGTGTTGGTTAGTGTGTGTGGGTCTCTGACGGCTGACTGTGCGTATGAGAGTGTGGGTCTCTTGTGACGGCTGACTGGGTGTGTTATGAGAGTGTAGGTCTCTTGTGACGCTGACTGGGTGCGTTATGAGGGTGGGTCTCTTGTGACGGCTGACTGAGGTGTATGAGAGTGTGGGTCTCTTGTGACGGCTGACTGGGTGCGTTATGAGAGTGTGGGTCTCTTGGCTGACTGGGTGCGTTATGAGAGTGTAGGTCTCTTGTGACGGCTGACTGGGTGCGTTATGAGAGTGTAGGTCTCTGACGGCTGACTGGGTGTGTTGAGTGTGTGGGTCTCTTTGACGGCTGACTGTGCGTATGAGAGTGTGGTCTCTTGTGACGGCTGACTGGTGTGTTATGAGTGTGTGGGTCTCTTGTGACGGCTGACTGAGTGTGATGAGAGTGTGGGTCTTTGTGACGGCTGACTGGGTGTGTATGAGTGTGTGGGTCTCTTGTGACGGCTGACTGGGTGCGTTATGAGTGTGGGTCTCTTGTGACGGCTGACTGAGTGTGTGTTATGAGAGTGTGGGTCTCTTGTGACGGCTGACTGAGTGTGTATGAGGTGGGTCTCTTGACGGCTGACTGGGTGCATGAGAGTGTGGGTCTCTTGTGACGGCTGACTGGGTGGGAGAGTGTGGGTCTCTTGTGACGGCTGACTGAGTGTGTTATGAGAGTGTGGGTCTCTTGTGACGGCTGACTGGGTGTGTTATGAGTGTGTGGGTCTCTTGTGACGGCTGACTGGGTGGTTAGAGTGTGTGGGTCTCTGACGGCTGACTGGGTGTGTTATGAGAGTGTGGGTCTCTTGTGACGGCTGACTGAGGTGTTATGAGTGTGGGTCTCTTGTGACGGCTGACTGTGGTTATGAGAGGTGGGTCTCTTGTGACGGCTGACTGGGTGTGTTATGAGTATGGGTCTTGTGACGGCTGACTGGGTGCATGAGAGTGTGGGTCTCTGACGGCTGACTGGGTGTGTTATGAGGGTGGGTCTCTTGTGACGACTGACTGGGTGTGTTATGAGGGTGGGTCTCTTGTGACGGCTGACTGGGTGTGTTATGAGAGTGTGGGTCTCTTGTGACGACTGACTGGGTGTGTTATGAGAGGTGGGTCTCTGACGGCTGACTGTGTAGAGGTGGGTCTCTTGTGACGACTGACTGTGTGTTATGAGTGTGGGTCTCTTGTGACGGCTGACTGGGTGTGTAGAGAGTGTGGGTCTCTTGTGACGACTGACTGGGTGTGTATGAGAGTGTGTCTCTTGTGACGGCTGACTGGTGTATGAGGTGGGTCTCTTGTGACGGCTGACTGGCGTTATGAGGTGTGGACTGGGTGCGTTATGAGAGTGTGGGTCTCTTGTGACGACTGACTGGGTCTCGTGTAGCTTCATTGCACACACACGTGAACGTACCCACACGCACACACACATACATACACACATGCCATCACTGAAACGCACATGCCCTCGGTGATGAAGGACACGCACATAACACATTGAAAATAATGAAGATGAAAATGTTGCTTAAATTTTTTTTGGACATACTGAGACTGATAGGCACGTTCCCTTCCTTCCTTCCTTCCTTCCTTCCTTCCTTCCTTCCTTCCTTCCTTCCTTCCTTCCTTCCTTCCTTTCCTTCCTTTCCTTCCTTTCTTTCTGACTGACTGGCATTTTCCCCCGGTCCAGTAGGTTAAAGCAGCCAATGGTCATTATAGAGAGAGCCTTGTTTAATTGAACTATGTTTCCGTCACGTGATTGGTCGAAACATATCTCAACTCGTTATGAACATGTATGACAAATGTTCACATAGATCATGTGTGTGTGTGTGTGTGTGTGTGTGTGTGTGTGTGTGTGTGTGTGTGTGTGTGTGTGTGTGTGTTACCTTGATGCCAGAACACCACACAGGACGTCTTGTTATACGTGAGATGTGGCCGAGTACATGCCACACCCTTCTACTCATGGTGTGTCGAAGGCCATACCACACACGGTTTAGCCTAAAGTGAGGGTGATGGTTGGGGAGTGTGGAGTGGTGATGGTGGGGGGAGGAGGGGTGAGTGGTGATGGTGGGGAAGGAGGAGGTGATGGTGGGGAAGGAGGGTGAGGGTGATGGTGGGGAGAAGGTGAGAGTTGTGTAATGATAGAGCTCTTGTGTTGTTCCCCTTCCACCCTCCCTACCCCCCCTACCCCCTACACACACATTTTGAACATCCACAAAGCAACATTCCTGCCAGGTAGAATGTATAAAACACAGGAACAGGTCGTATTCATGTTTGTGTCTGCCTGTAATATATAACGTGTTCTCTTTTAATATAACCAATTCAGTGGTATTTTTTTCTCACTCACTGTTTATGTAAAGTTTTAGACCAAGAATGAGATCACCTGAATATTTACCCCATGATGATAAACCTAACCTAACCAACCCCCCTTTACACACACACACACACACACACACACACACACACACACACACACACACACACACACACACACACACAAACAAAATAACGCCCCTTATCAACACTCTCTCAGATGAAGCAAGAGAACGATTTCCATAAAAGCGTTAACTGGACCACCATCACATACACTACCACCATTACTACATCAATACCACCACACACACACACACACACACACACACACACACACACACACACACACACACACACACACACACCACAAGGAACTCTGGTGTAGCTAGTGTGGTGGGACTCCGGGGCGAGGAAAGGCCCTGTAGCCAAATGACTCAAGAGGCGGAGCGTAAAAGGGAGCATATTGGCAGCGGCGACCCGGCAGCAGTGAGCATACCAAGACTGTGGCCAGATTATGAAATGAATAGCATTCCTGGCCTGCCCAAACGGTGCCCTCTCATATTGGTGGACCGCAGGCGAACCTCTTTTCTCTGCCTATTCCTTCTTTCTTCCTCCTCCTCCTCCACCCTCCTGTATCCGACCCCTCCCCCTTCTCTCTCTTCCTCCCCCTTCTCTTCTCCCCCTTCTCTCCTCCCTCTTCCTCCCTCCTCCTCTTCCTCCCTCCTCCGCTGCTGTGTCTGACCTCCCTCCCCTCTCTTCCTCCCTCCCTCCTCTTCCCTCCTCCTCCCGCTGCTGTGTCTGACCTCCCTCCCCTTCTTCCTCCTCCCCCTTTCTCTTCCTCCTCCTCTGCTGATCTCCCCTTCCCCCGCCAAATTGTTCCTGCCGAGGTACAGGTCACAAGTGTTTGTCTCTAAAACAACGTAACTGGAATGGTCTTGAATGATAACAGGAATTTGGACCTAGACAACGTAACTGGAATGGTCTCTTGGAATGATAACAGGAATTTGGACCTAGACAACGTAACTGGAATGGTCTCTTGGAATGATAACAGGAATTTGGACCTAGACAACGTAACTGGAATGGTCTCTTGGAATGATAACAGGAATTTGGACCTAGACAACGCAACTGGAATTGTCCGTTGGTGATCAGAATAGGAATTTGGACCTAGACAACGAAACTGGAATGGTCTCTTGGAATGAAAACCGGAATTTGGACCTAGATAACGTAACTGGAATTGTCCCTCGGAAGAACAACAGGAATCTAGGTTAGGCTTGGCTAGGTTAAGTTAGGTTAGGTTTTGTTAGGTTAGGTTAGGTTAGGTTAGGTTAGGTTAGGTTAGGTTTTGTTAGATTTGGCTAGGTTTTAGGAAAGATTAAGTTAGACTAGGTTTTGCTAGGTTAGGCCTGGTTTTGTTAGGTTTTATTTAACTAGGGTAGGTTTTAGGTTAGGTTAAGGTAGGTCAGGTTAGGTTAAGGTAGGCTTGATTTTGTTAGGTTAGGTTAGGTTGGGTTGGGTTGGGTTGGGTTAGGGTAATTAATCATAAAGTGAAATAAACAGAGGGAGGTTGAGGTGACCCGCCCATATTGCTTACCTCACCTGTGTGTCCTGAGGTGGTGGTGGTGGACAGGTATTTTGGTTTCACCTTTGTCTCTTGTCTCTATGTATAGGTGTGTGTGTGTGTGTGTGTGTGTGTGTTGTGTGTGTTGTGTGTGTTGTGTGTGTGTGTGTGTGTGTGTGTGTGTGTGTGTGTGTGTGTGTGTAAATAAACAATATAGTCTTCGAGGCTTTGATGAGGTTTATACACACAACACACACACAACACACACACACACACAACACACACACACACACACAACACACACACACACAACACACACACACACACACACATGAACCTGAAAACAATTAAAGGAAGAATCTAAAGTCTTCTCAGATCAGACGCTTCAAAAGTTTCCATAAGTTGTAACCCGAAAATATTGGAGACGGGGCACACCAGTCGATCCTCTCGGGCGGAAAAGTGATAGGTTCTCTTCTTCTTCTTCTTCTTCTTCTCTCTTCCATCTTCTTCTAAGGGTGATAGGTTTATTCTTCTTCCTCCTTCTTCTCCTCCTCCTTCTTCTTCCTCCTCCTTCTTCTTCTTCTTCTTCTTCTTCTTCTTCTTCTTCTTCTTCTTCTTCTTCTTAGTTTTCTTCTAAAATGAGAGGTCTTCCACTCTCTTCCTTCTTCTTCTTCTTCTCCTCTTCTTCTTCTTAAGTTTTCTTCTAAAATGAGAGATCTTCCCTCCTCTTCCTTCTTCTCCTTCTTTCTTTTATTTCTTTTTTAAGCCTTACTCTTCTTCATTCTCTTCTTTTCCCTCTCCTCATATCCTCATATCCTCCTTATCCTCCCCTTATCCTCCCCTTATCCTCCCCCTTATCCTCCCCTATCCTCCCCCTATCCTCCCCATATCCTCCTCACCTTATCACTCTCACCCTTATCCTCCCCTTATCCTCCCCTTATCCTCCCCTTATCCTCCCCTTATCCTCCCCCTTATCCTCCCCCTTATCCTCCCCTATCCTCCCCCTATCCTCCCCCTTATCCTCCCCCTTATCCTCCCCTATCCTCCCCCTTATCCTCCTCACCTTATCCTCCCCCCTTATCCTCCTCACCCTTATCCTCCCCCTTATCCTCCCCTTATCCTCCCCCTTATCCTCCCCCCTTATCCTCCCCCTTATCCTCCCCCTTATCCCCCCTTATCCTCCCCCCTTATCCTCCTCACCACTGAAATCATAAACAAACAAAAAATAACCGTAGGAGTGACGTTTAATTAACTAAAGCCGGGAAAATAATATGTTAAGTCATGATTATTATTACAAGAAGCCCAACTATTAGAGGCATAGAGGGAGTATGAGAGGCATTAGAGGCATCGAGGGAGTATGAGAGGCATTAGAGGCATCGAGGGAGTATGAGAGGCATTGTAGAAGAGGTGTTAGAGGTATAGAGGGAGTATGAGAGGCATCGAGGGAGCATTAGAGGCATTATATAAGAAGCATCGAGGGAGTACGAGAGGCATTGTAGAAGAGGTGTTAGAGGTATAGAGGGAGTATGAGAGGCATTGTAGAAGAGGTATTAGAGGCATAGAGGGAGTATGAGAGGCATCGAAGGAGCATTAGAGGCATTATATAAGAAGCATAGAGGGAGAATAAGAGGCATTATAGACTGAGATAGACAATATTGAAATAACCTCGTGTATGAAGTGAGGGGAAGTGGGGGTGGTGAGATGAGGGGAGAGATGAGAATAATAGTCCAGTAGGTAAGGTTAGAGGAGACAGCTGTGCTGGGGGGGTAGGAAGTGGGGGGAAGGATTCATGAGTTAAAGGGGAGGCAGAGTGAGGAAAGATAAGAGATGGGGGAAGTTAGGGAAGGCAGAAATGAGGAGTAAGGGGGAGGCAGGAGGTGATGAGGGGAGACAACCATGAAATGAGGGGAGACAGACATGGAAGTGAGGAGACAGGCATGAGTGAGGAGACAGACATGGAAGTGAGGGGAGACAGACATGAGGTGAGGGGAGACAGATGTGAAGTGAGGGGAGACAGACATGAAGTGAGGGGAGACAGACATGAAGTGAGGGGAGACAGATGTAGAGTGAGGGAGAGACAGACATGTGGAAGTGAGGAGAGAGACAGACATGAAGTGAGGAGACAGACATGAAGTGAGGGGAGACAGCCATGAGTGAGGGGAGACAGCCATGAGTGAGGAGAGACAGACATGAAGTGAGGGGAGACAGCCATGAAGTGAGGGGAGACAATCATGAAATGAGGGGAGACAGACATGAAGTGAGGGGAGACAGACATGAAGTGAGGGGAGACAGACATGAAATGAGGGGAGACAGCCATGAAGTGAGGGGAGACAGCCATGAAGTGAGGGGAGACAATCATGAAATGAGGGGAGACAGACATGAAGTGAGGGGAGACAGCCATGAAGTGAGGGGAGACAGACATGAAATGAGGGGAGACAGCCATGAGGTGGTGGTGGCGACGACTGGGGTTTGTGTACACGAGGGGAGCGCCAGACCGGTGCCAACACAAATGCTTCCCTGACCTAGTGATTGTCTGACGCCCTCCCTCCCTCCCTCTCTTTCTTTCCCTCCTTTCCTCATCTTTCCTTCTTTTTTTCCTCCTTCCATTCTTTTCACTCTCCTATCATAGGTTTTCCTCCTTCCTTCCTTCCTTCCTTCCTTCCTTCCTTCCTTCATTTTTCCTTCTTTCTCCTTCCTTCCTTTTTCCTCTTTTCTTCATCCTTCCCTCTCTTCCTTTCCTACCTCCTTCTGTCCCCTTCCTTCCTTCCTTCTTTCCTCCCTTTCCCTCCCCCTGAGAAAAAAAAACCCTCGCGTTCACCCTCATTTATCATCTCTTTCTCCCTTTCTCCCTCATTTATTATCACTGTTGCATTCTTCCTCGTTTACCAACAATTTCAGGTGATTTATTGTCATTTACCTGTCGATTTATTAACCATTTTACCTGTTGGTCTTGTCACCTTTGTTGCTTCACACTCTCAGTAATGTCACAGAACTTGGGATATGGTGTCACAACAATGAGGGGGAGGAGAGAGAGAGAGAGAGGGTGTAGAGAGGGAGGGAGAATACAAAAGAGAGAGAGGAAGGTATACTAGAGAGAGAGAGAGAGAAAGTGAGAGAGAACTACGTCATTAGTCTCTTAACAAACCCATCCTCCCCCTTCACCCTTACCCCCTCCCCCCCTTCCAATCCCCTCCCCTTTTGCCAGTCACCCCCCCTCCCCTCCCCCCTTCGCCGCCGCCATACAGTCACCACCCTGTTTCCTGTCACCACCTCAGTCACCCCCCCAGACAAGAACCACTTACTGAGAACCCTGTATTACCGTAGAAGTCAGCTCCGTCAGTGAGTAAGTGAGTGAGTGAGTCAAGAAGATGAATAAGCAGTATGTGGTCTCTGTGTGGGAGTATATTATGTGAATTTGCTCAAGTGTGACTTAAGTGAATGATAAAAAGATAGTTGAAGTATAGCAGTGTGTGTGTGTGTGTGTGTGTGTGTGTGTGTGTGTGTGTGTGTGTGTGTGGAGGCGTTCAGTCGAGCACATCGTCTTGGGAGGGAGGGAAGGTGGTGAGCTGGGCCAGGGGAATAGCCTTGTCGGGTAATTAGGAAAGGATAGACGCTCATCGGGTCATTAACCACATAGTTATTAGTTCACACACTCACATACACACACACACACACACATACAGACACACACACAGACACACACACAGACGGAGCTACTTATGTTCCTAGTGGCCACAATAGGTATTACTTTAGTCTCTCTCTCTCTCTCTCTCTCTCTCTCTCTCTCTCTCTCTCTCTCTCTCTCTCTCTCTCTCTCTCTCTCTCCTTATTTTCTTGAAGCACCAACTAATGAGTTAATGTCTTGTGGATTTATTATGTAAGCTGGGGCTATATCTTGTGTGTGTGTGTGTGTATGTGTGTGTGTGTGTGTGTGTGTGTGTGTGTGTGTGTGTGTGTGTGTGTGTGTGTGTGTGTGTGTGTGTGTGTGTGTGTGTGTGTGTGTGTGTGTGTGTGTGTGTGTGTGTGTGTGTGTGTGTGTGTGTGTGTCTGTGTGTGTGTGTGTGTGTGTGTCTGTGTGTGTGTGTCTGTGTGTGTGTGTGTGTGCCCAGGGGCAAGGCAGTATAAGTGCCTTCGTTCATATTTCTCTGTTTGTTTGTCTATCTCTCTTACGTTACATTGAGTTTTGTTGCTTTTATTTGTGTTCTCTACGTCACCGCTGAAAGGTTAAAAAAAAGACATTTCTCTTATAGTATCTCTTAATACGTTGACCTTTGTATGTATGTATGTGTGTATGTATGTATGTATGTATGTATGTATGTATGTATGTATGTATGTAGAGATCCTTCCAGCCAACTCAACACAAGCGGGGTAGGGTGATGATAATTATATGGAGTGTGTGTACATAAGTGTGTAGAAACAGTAGGCCAACACACACACACACACACACACACACACACACACACACACACACACACTCACTCACTCACTCGTCTGCAGGAGAGACTTGTAAAGTGATGTGGCGTGAAACTGCTGTAGTTGACCAAGTAACTTAACACACACTACACCATCCTGTCCAGTT